GATTGAGCAGTACACAATTGAGGAAAGACATGGTTGCCTTATACGTTGAAGATCATTTGCCCAGACTGGGATGAATGCACAGCGATTTACCCATCTGCCGGCATTGTATTGCCAAGGCATGCTCTGCAGGACACCTGAGTTACACAACCCCACAAGGCGAATACTCTCCGCTCAAGTACAGCCAATGGAGGGGAGTACTAGGCGACGCATGTCATCTGGACGTAGAGAGGAGTGGATGTAAGAGGATGATTGCTGTATGGATAGATTATGCGTAGGTTCTTGGTTTCTGTATTGCACACTTAGTCGAGAGCCATGTTGACCTTGTTATCTCAGTTGCCGAGTGGCTTGGCAGTTCAACGTAGCCATGTATACCTTGGATGCCAGCAAAGCAGAGGTTTTTGCATTTCGATGCCCGAGGTCTGGAAGTGTTCAACCGGATCAAGCAGCCAAGAAATGTGGCTGCTCGTGACGACGAAACTCGGTATTAACATTCCGTTTGGCAGGGGAATAGAGCCAAGATAAGCTCATGAAGTATGGGGTACGGCAATAGTGGCGTTGGGGATTGTGGGTCGGTCGGTGGTTGAGCGGGGAAATCAAAGCTTGATTACATGGTACTATGTTGTTTGAGAGGGAGCATTGAGGCACACGAGGAAGGAAGGGAGGTTGGTCCCTCTCACCCCACCATACGTACACTCCTTTAGACCATGCCGCGCATATCAACGTCACTCATCCGCAAGGCACGTGCGATAGATCCTCTTCTTCCCGCTCTTCTCGCACCTTGCCGTGAACTGCAGGCTGCGCAGAACGAGTTGCGATGGCTGCGCGAACACGTCGAGGAAGTTGGCCAAACACGACGCGCCAGGCCAGACAAGTGGGCCAAGAGAGCCTTGTTGCGCCAATTGGTTCACGAAAGATCACGAGGAAAGCCACTCCAGTACATACTGGGCACAGAACATTTTGGTGATTTAGAAATACGATGCAAACCTGGCGTACTGATTCCAAGGTATGACAAGTTCGCAGTGTTGACCGCCTTGGCTGATTTGTGCACCAGACCAGACACAGCGGCTTCAGTCACGCATTTTGTCAGTCTTCTTCGCAACGCGAAAAATCTTCCACCAGAATTGCGTCTTCTCGATCTCTGTACCGGTACCGGCTGCATCCCCCTTCTCTTCCAACATGAACTACTATCTGCACGCAGCGACATTAACTTGCGCCTTCTCGGCGTCGATGTGTGTGACAAAGCGATATCTCTGGCTAAACACAACCTACAAAGGCTATTTAAGGACCGCCAACTCAACGCTAACGGGCAAGTTCATTTTCTAAAAGCCGACATACTGATTGAACCATTCGCGGATGATTACGGACAAGTCCTTCCGTTAAAGACAGCCCTCAACTATTCTACGCAGCCGGTTTACTGGGACATAGTCATTTCCAACCCACCTTACATCTCACCCTCTGCCTTTTGGAAGACTACAACACGCTCAGTGCGTAATTTCGAACCAAAGCTTGCACTGGTGCCACCATCCAAGGACAAACAAACAGACACGCAGCAAGGCGATATGTTCTATCCGCGTCTGCTCAACGTTGCACGAGATGTGGAGGCTAAAGTGGTGCTACTAGAAGTTGCTGATATTGAGCAAGCTCTACGTGTGGCTAGGGTTGCCAGAGACTTGGAAATATTTGATGGCATTGAAATCTGGAGGGAAGATCCCAATGCTCCTACCACCGAGACAAGCAAAGATGGTTTTGACATTATTGGGCAAGGAAATGCCAGGACAGTCCTTTGCTGGCAAGGTCAAGGAGCATGTTGGCTCGGCAAAACCACGGCTATTTCTGCCGCACCTACGGCGGAGGGTGCAAGCCGCTTCTTCAGGAATACCCCAGCGACATCAGCAAATTCTACTGAAGCTTGTTCACCCAAGGTAGACACATATGACTTGAAGCCTCAGTTCGATTTGAATTTTTTCTGGCAGCAAAATCATCAGTCCACTAGCCGTCTTGGTAACCGGGCCTTCAAAATGGATTGGATGCGTGACAGATATTTGGTCCAAAAAAAGCCCTGATACTCAAGGGCATTGTGCGCACAGGGGCTAGAAACAAATTTGCTACTGCATAGCAACACAGAAACTATAGGGTTAGTAGAACGATATGTGCAAGACACGGCGACTAGAGATTGGTAAAGAGTTGTGGGAATGCGCAAGAGCCAAACCTGCCTGAGGACCTGGAGGCTAGCAGAGGTTGTCAAATTGGTATTATACGGGTAAAATGATATCTGGACGACGGCAGCTTGGTGGAAGAACATCTTGTCTTGAGGAGAATGATAAAGCATCAAGAATCACCTGGCCTTCTTTGCTTGAGTCTGGAACAGCTGTCGCTTTCTCCTGTCCTCCCACCGCGCCCAACCAGAATCGACCAAGTCCTCCTGAATGACGAGGTCTCTGACACGGAGTACCCTCAAAAGCCACGTATCGAGCGCCCACTCAATCCAACCTGCTCTTCGCAAGTATGTCGTGAATGCGAACCAGGCCAGAGCAAAAGTGGCGCCGGCGGCACAGCCAACAATGACCTGCTTGGGGGTGTGGTAGCTCAAGTATATGCGACTGACGGCTACAGCAGCGGCGCCAAGCAAGGCGAGGAGTGAGAGAACGATGCGGCCGCCCAAGGAGAAGGGAGTGTGGGTTTCGGTAGGATGCGGGACGTGACGAAAGATGAGGAAGAGGGCGAGGGTGACGGAGAAGAAGGAGACAAACTGGGCATGTGACGAGGGCATTCCATAGCCTTTGTTGTGCATTTCTGGTTGCGTAGCCGTTAGTACAGGGTGCTATTTGGGTTGGTGGACTGGAGTCGTGTGGTCGTACGCCTTGGTCGCTCTTCCTTGATATATCTCTTGAGCACCCAGTTCAGGGCCTCGCATGTCATTTGGCCGGCAAACATGAGGAATATCTCAATCTCGCGGTTCGACCAAATCAGCGTCGCATAGACGACGCACAGGGCCTGAGGGACGAGAGCCAGCCATGCGCACACCCACGAGACGCGGTCGGTCGGGTTCTACGAGCGTCAGCAGCGTGCGGGCAGTGACTGTGTGGGTGTACCGACATAGTACACATGGGTGAGGGAGAGCGAGGCAAGCGGAGGGCTGTCCATAATGCAGCGACAATGTGAGTAATGACGACAGACGCTGGGTGATGGTGGCGCATGCACACGCCCGGCGACGCCCTTCGAGACTTGGCGCGGCGCGGGCAAGGTACGCCACGCCCCGCCCGTCGCAGCCCTTATTGACAATTGACTCTACTGCCTATGGATGCATCTAGTATCTGAGACCTATCCGTTCTTCTCGCCCTTCACCATGGGCCTCTTCAAGGCCTCTTTTTCCTTTATGCGCTATCGATAGCTGCTGCCGCTGCCGCTGCCGCCGCCGCCGCCACCCATTCGCCATATCAACCCACCGTTCTCCCCGCGCCCGCGACACCAATCCGCCCAACGCCACCCACATGGCCGAAGCCACTCTGTACGATGAGCGCGCCGAAGAGCTCATCACCCTGCAGTCGATCTACCCAGAGCTAGTCATTCAGGAAAACAATCCCTACCAGGCCACCCTCCAACTGCTCATCGCCCCGACCAAGCCTATTCCCACGACCTTCGAACCTTCGCAGCATGTCGAGCGACTTGCCTACCTCCCACCCTTGTGCCTTGATATTTCCTTACCAGAAGGATATCCTGCGCAGGCTCCACCTGTAGTAAAGCCCTCAACTTCGCCGCCATGGCTACCCGAGGACATCCAGGCTGCACTATCTGCTGATGCGAAATCGCTATGGCATGATTATGGAGGAGATACCGTCTTATTCGCCTACATAAGCTCATTGCAGGAGCAGGCCGAGACTGCTTTTGGTCTGCAAGGACTCACCCTTCCTTCGAGCATTCAAAAGCACATGGTAGACTATGCTCGGCACATGAAGAAAGAGCTATTCGACAAGGAGACTTTCGACTGCCAAGTGTGCTTGGAACCCAAGAAAGGATCTGCCTGTTATCGTATGGCTCGCTGTAGTCACGTCTTTTGCATTGCCTGTCTACAAGATTACTACAACAATTGTATCAACGAAGGGCATGTCCACAACGTCAAGTGCATGTCCACCGAGTGTGGTAGTAGCGCCAAAAAGAAGGATCGACTTTTGTCCCCAAAGGAACTATTACAGATACCCGTATCACGTAGCCAGGTCGAACGCTACGCGAAGCTCAAGCGAAAGAAGAAGATTGAATCTGACCCGACCATTGTCTTCTGTCCTCGATCCTGGTGCCAGGGTGCCATGCGTACGGACAAATATCCCAAAATTACCGATGTTGGGCAAATGGACGACTCTGACTCGGAACCCGACGACACCCCAGAGATCTCGACTACTGCCGATACTGGGCCCGAAAAGCGCCGCGTGGGCGTGAGGGGCATGGAAAGACTGCAAGTCTGTGAAGACTGCAATCTTGCCTTCTGTGTCGTCTGCCTTGCTTCTTGGCATGGCGACTTTGTGCGCTGTGAGCCTCGAGATGCCACTCAGCTTACCGAGGAGGACCAAGCATCACTCAACTTCATTGCAAGGAACACCACACCATGTCCGTATTGCTCTGTGCCTTGCCAGAAATCTGTAAGTAGCCTCTTCTTTCCTACGCCTATAGCGCCCCCCCTTCTTGCTAACACATGTTAAAGTACGGATGCAATCACATCACATGCGCTCAGTGCAAGACGCACTTTTGCTACCTATGCAGTGCCTGGCTCAATCCAGATCACCCATATGCCCACTTCAACGATCCAAAGTTCAAAGACTGTTTCCAGCGCCTCATGGATGGGGCCGAAGGTGACATGGACAATGACGAGGTTCGATTCGGTGGACGTCGTGGCGCAGAACAACTTGCTGATTTTTGGGAGCAAGAAGCTCTGCGTATCCAGATGGACGAATTCGGTGATACATGATAGCATTCATAAGCGCTGGGTATACAACATGACGCAATTCAATCATCAAGACCAGAGCAGTGAACCTTGCGACCTTTCTCAATATTCACACTTTTATTGTTTCTATATTCATAAAGGCAGAGAGACTGCCCTTCGGCCTCGGTCTTGTATACCTCTTGGCCGTGTGACGCTGAGAGAGTCTTCAGTCTTCTCCACATTTCCTCGCCGACTTGAAAACCCGACCTTCTTGCTCGCCAGCTCATCCAACCTCTCGCAAACATCCGCATAAACCAACTCGACGCGTTTCTCCATCTCATCCACCATTTCCGTTGTGCTCTCCTTAAACTTAGCCAGCTTATCATCAAACACACGGTTCAGCTCCATGATGCTATCTTCCTTGACCATGACCACATCAAGCTTCTGTTCTTCAAGCAGCTCGTGAAATTCATCGTCAGCCGCGCTGTGAAGTTGCGATGCATGGTCGAGCGTCTGGGCGTATATCTCTTCAAGTTGAGCTTCGAGGCGAGCGGATACCTGGGCGTTTAGCAGGTTGCCGAGTGATGATATTGGTTTTGGTTTTGGTTTTGGCCTTGAAGATGACCGAGAGAGTGATGATGAAGGTGATGATGAGCAAGGGGCGGCAAGCACACGTGGGAGCATATCTGGTAGTATCGCCTCGAGCATTTGCGGAAGCAATGTTTCCAGTGTATTCTTGATTGCATCTTGGAAATCAGGCGCGCTGGTAATGGGAGAGGGTGAACGTAGTTTGGGATTTGGCGCGAACACAGATACCGCCGACGCCTTTTCGGTTGGTGATGACAACAGACATGACGTAGGCGAAAGCAGCGTGCGCTTTAAAGATGGTTCAGGTGATGGGCTGGTTGTGACTATACTTCCGTCTTAATGACAAGCCGAAAGGGGGTCTAGATAAGAACAGACTTACCTTGTCTTGGACGTTTCTTAGACGCTTCGATATACGGGGGAGGTGCTTCGGATGTGACATCATCTACTGGACCCAAGACGGACCAGTCTGCTAGCCTGAAATGTCTTGCAGAGGACGGATCCACAGGTATCCCAGTGAACTGTTCGGGATGTCTGATTAGGTGCTCGAATCGAGTATAGTGGTCCTTGTGTAGCCAGTTCCAATCAAACAAGACATGTATTTGAGTTGCACTGGCGAGCTTAACGAATTGAGCAAAGGCATCGCTGAACCCATCCTTAGGCATCGTTGGGCCGGAGGATATAGGGCACCAGACAGGGCAAGGTGCCTTGAGGGTCAAACACAACATTCTCAGTTGGGCGTTTCCCTGCCGAGCAATTTCATGCAGCCGGTTCTGTGGAAGGCTGGTGGGCGAGTACTGGACCGAAGTATTGTCGGGCACCAGATTGTCAGCATTGTAAAGGAGGGTAAAGGTTTGCTTGTCGTCAAATCCTTGGATGGGCAGTGAGTATTGCAAAGAGATAGTGGCTTGCATGCGAGCCTCGAGATATTTGACGGCTAAGCAACATGGCCATTGTGATGCACCATCAGACGCGAGAGAAGCCAGTACTGGAATGCCGCTTTTGCGAACGAGGTTGTAGATCATTGTTTATTAACTGTTCTATACTCTAAAAATACTCACCTAGAAAAAGCGATACCCCTCTTGCCCTAAAATGTCGTAGGGAAGAGGAACCCACCCACCCGGGCTTTGATTGCACAGTTGGCAATGAGCAGCCCTGACTCTGTCGCGGAAGCTCCCCCAGCCACCTCGTGAACCGCTGACCACGACGTGTTCACACTACTCGCGCCAGTCTGAACGACACCCCTCTAAAGCTGAAAGCCAGCACGTGAGCTAGGCTGACGAAACTGTGCAAACCGCGTCAAAGGCCTTGTGAAATTCGCAAGGATGGTGTGTTGAGCCCTGGCTACGAGAAGGCAAAGAGACAATGTATCAACGGCTGACGGGGTGTGTGCGCTGGGAGAGTCGCCGTCGGTAGGTGTCGAAGGAATGCGTATCGTGGAAACCAGCTGTGTATATGCGGGGGTTGCGTGTGATGGTGGCGAGCTGGTTGTGATGGAGAAGAGGTGGGGAGGGGGCTGTGGGGGTCTGATGTACACGATGGAAAGCGCGTTCGAAACGCGCTAGCCCAATACGGACTAGTGGTAACCATACGCCATCCTTCACTCTCGCGGAACCGAAATGGCCGGACATCTCAGGCAAGTGAAAGGGCTAGTTTCTTAGCGTTTTATTTTGTTTATTATACATATATTTTTAAATGTTATTGTTATGCTGATATTTAACGTTCAAAGTAGCTACTTTTGGTGGTGATTTGGTGTTGTCCGGCTATTTCAGTTCCGCCAGAGCTTCACTCCTCAGGCAACTACCTACCATTCTGGTAAGTCTGGCGACCTGTGCGTGTGAGCGTGAGCACACGTATGTCGGCATTGGGAATAGCGCTTTCTCGAAAACGCTAAGCTGAGGTCGTATTTACAAATCCAATAACCAGCCAGGCAGGAAAATACGACAATAGGCTCACGCGCAGGCACTGGTTTACCTGCTTTGTTATTACTCTGCAAGGATTGCGTCACTGAACATTCACTCCAATCCAAGAGTTCTTTTCCTAACTATGATAGCCCTTGTCTGAATCTGTCGTGTTCTGAGTCTTCACTATAGGGGCAAAATTCCGACTCTAGTCCTAAAGTAACAACTTCTAAATTGACTACACAGCCCCTTACCTCTACGGTCAAATAATTTCACCTGTGTGAACAGAAATATCAAGCCATCAAGTTCAGGTCCTTTGGAAAAGGGAAAGGTGAAGGCAAGGAAAGACAGCCTGATATATCCACAGGTGATGTTTTTCCGCACAATGAGCAAAACAAAGGAAGCCCAAACATGATATAGTAAACAGCACCATCTGTGAAATCACAGTAGCTAGAGATATGCAAGCACAGGAAATTTTTCGTACAAGGAAACTGTAGCGGTCGCTCCTTATCAAAAGTCCAGTCATTTCCCCCTTATATATTCGCACCAAAGCCAACAGATACGACCATATAATTACCCAACTGCTTGTCACTCTTTCCATACCAATCAGCAATTGATCAATTTTCCACCATGCGTTTCGCATTCTTCACCGTGCTTCTGGCTACTGCATTTGTCAACGCCAATCCCGTCCCCGAAAACCTCGAGGACATTGCCACCAGCGCAGAAGATGCACTGGCGAAGGCTGCAGCAAGGACACCTGAGCTTGTGAGCCGTAAGGACTGGGTAAGAGTATCGTCAATCACATCATTCTTTCTCTGCTTTCTAACAAGTTTTCCGATAGCTTTGCGACCCCGTGCTTCAGAGCTGTAGCACCGGAGATCCCACCGACGCTCATTACTGCCGACCTGTACGTTACTTCTTCATTGATATGTCCCATATACACGATGCTGATTGAGGCTTTAGAACTCGTGCACTGGATGGCATGGATGCATTCCCTACACCACCTCAACCGGCCAGATGTACGCATGGTGCTCGTGAGTGCTGCCAATCGCACTTGTTGCCTGTCAGAGCCGTGGCTATCATGGATATTCGTTTTGGATCCTTTTTCTAGTTTTGATACTACTGAAAATGTCCATACGTCTCTTGAACAACTCTTCATCTTTACACAAACACTTCATTGTCCTACCTTCAAGTGTACATTCGTAATCATAATCACGCGCGCATTTGGGCTTCCAATGTAGTGCGCAATCTGATCCAGTTCTCATTATCTTGACCAAGCAGAGGGTTAATTTGTTCATTTGATCTAAAACGCGACGCATGTTCAACACTAGTATAAGCAGGTATAAAACGTTCGGGATACACATGGTTGATGCTAGTATGATGGTAAGAATCTCCGTTTTGAGCTAGCGCTGGGTGACGCGAGCAACATGGGAGCATCTTAAATTATACCTAGCAGAGAGTAGCGTTAGATTGGATGGTAGTCAGAGCAGGTAAGGTAGCTAGACTAGCCAGGGTCTCACGGTTAGCACAGTCAAAGTAGCCGGGCAAACGTGTAGCAATCAAAGGCGTAGTCTTCTTCAATACCATTTCCGCGCTGACGACAGGATGTTCAAATGACCTCCTAGGCATTAGCATTCCCAGAGTGCATAGGATTTGAGCTGCACAGCCTGTTGCCACACGCATTCTTTCTCAGCGCCAAGCTGGATGTGGTAGCTCTGGCTTCCGCGGACCCGCGGCCTCCCCGTCTGAAGCGCATGGAAAAAGGAATCGTCATGCAATAATACACTGGACCACGCGTCAACTCAACCTTCACTTCTCATCCCTTGATTCCTAATCCCACTTGTATCTGCAATCCTAATCGCGAATGTCGTTCCTAGAGATGAAACGAGATCAGAGCATCAAGTTTTGTAGTCGGGCGCCGGGGCAATATGACAGTCAGAAAGGGACGGACCAAGGCGGAAGCGCGAGCAACTTTTTGATGTAAGCTCGCCATGGCGCATTCGATTGAACCGTAGTCTTCTTCCTAGCGTCGCAGCGCAACGCAAGCATCGGTTGTGTGTTCTCTTGGAAAGGTTCCCAATGCGGAATTACCATGACGAGTTCGTTGGGGATTTACCCGTTCCCGCCCCCGCCACACATGGATTTTCTCGGCAGATGGTAGAGCTTCGCCGGCTCAAGGCTTCCAGGGGCAGCCCTAAACCCCCATCGCCTTTCGCTTTCTACCACATGTGCGCAAAATTACACGTTTCCCTACCCTGTACAGAGATGCGGCTCTGAACAATAACTCGCGAATCATAAATTGCATACTCATTTACAACCTTGTTGTCCCTGGAAAGCTGACCGCTTAAGCACCTGCTTATATGGTAGAACCACTGCGGCGGATCCCTACATGATTCGGTGCCGGTGCTAGCAAAATGCGGAGGTTATTTCATGCGCAAGTACCATATACGACGGCAGTTGATTTGCTACAAATCGGGCATACGTAGTAGTACTCGCTTACTGACACAAGATCAACGAGATCTCGCCATCTCATTCGTACCAACCCCATTGCAATCCGCGTGCATCCTCACTTTCCGACTGCTGAAATGTTTCAAAACACCCTCACGTCATCTTCCAATCTACTGTTGTATCAGACGGCTGGTATGGCCCACCTTCCGCGGGGGACTGATGCAATCGGGCCGTGGAGGTCGAATCTCGGTGCTTATTCCAGGACATCACCGCATAATTGCACATGCTCCTCCAATCCCCTATGTTCTGCACAAGTGAAGGTGACCCATTTTAAACTTCTCAGATTGCTTATTCCCTTAAGATTAGCCTAAAAATCGGGCGGGGCCCGCCTGGTGTCAGACACTAAAATGACCTACTCAAGCTACGCTACGAGGGCCTTAAAAGGTTGGCTGTCCACGTCCTCTTGAGCCCAACCAGGCTTTCATTGCACAACAGTCAATCAAGCTTGCGAAGCATTCTTTTTGTGACAGACTCCACGTTTTCAACATGTCTGTTCAACCCTACGATCCCCCGGTTATCAACACCTTCCACCAGTGCGACCCTGCAGCCCACGTCTGGAAGCATGATCCCAACACTGTATACATCTATGGATCCCACGACTGGAACTCAACCAGGCAGCCCCCGGTGGTCAGTATTCAAGGATTTCTATCATGCGAATAAAATTTGACGAAAAACAGCAATACGACATGAAGGATTACTACGTGCTTACTCAGACCGATTACACCAAGCCTGCCACAGTCGGACCAAAGGTATAACGGTTCTTCAAGGAGAGATTGGTGGAAGTTCTAACTGACAAAAAAAATTAGCTTTTGGACCTTGTGGACATTCCATGGGCGTCGCAGCAGCTCTGGGCTCCTGATGCGACCGAGAAGGACGGCTACTACTACCTGTTTTTCCCAGCCAAGGACAAGGACGATGTCTTCCGCATCGGAGTGGCCAAATCTGACAAGCCCGACGGAAAATTCAAGCCCGAACCCAACCCGATTCCCGGCACTTACAGCATTGACCCCACAATCTTGGATGACAATGGCGACTACTACATGGTATTTGGCGGACTGTGGGGTGGTCAGCTTCAAGCATGGACCAACAACGTCTTGGTAAGCTTCCGCCTTTCTGCACAACCCCAGCTTGGTCAAGCCAATACTAACGCGATTTTCAGAACACGTCCCAATTCGGTAACATTTCTCCTTCTTCCGGCCCAGCCATCGGACCCCGTTTCGCTAAGCTCTCGGCCAACCTCACCTCTCTCGCCACCACACCAAAGGAACTCGTCATCTACGACGAAGACGGCAATGTCATGCAGGCAAACAGCACGCGCCGTTTCTTTGAGGCCCCATCTCTGAACAAGGTCGGCAACCTTTATGTCCTCCAGTACTCCACCGGCACCTCGCACACTATTGAAATCGCCACCGCTACCAAGCCTGATGGCCCTTACTACTGGAAGAACACGCTTCTGCAGCCTGTAAAGGGATGGACTACCCACGAGTCGATTGTCAAGTTCAAGAACGACTGGCTTCTGTACTATGCTGATTCTTCGCTTTCTGGCCGTGATGATCTCCGCAACACCAAGGTCAGGCAGGTCTTGTTTGAGAATGGCACCTTTACGCTTGCTCAGCCTCAGCCTGTCGTCACCCCTTAAGGCTAGACATTGTTTATATTCAAACTTGTACATATTTCACATGCCGCTCAACCCGCATGTTCACGATTTGCTACATACTGAAAGCGTCGTTTTCTACACATTAGAGTTGCCAAGTAATTAGATTTGACAATATATTTGCCAAGATGTGAACCGAGTTCCTGGGATAATACCGTTTGATGTGGCGTATGTTAAACCTGTTATGGGGTAGGTTATATACCTACCCTATTTAAGCTTAGTAGTAGAACGGACACTATAAGTAGACACTAGACCTTCGCTACATCATATAGACCTAAGCAATACAATAACCTTTGGCTCCTAACATTATCCTGAAAGGCCCAGCCCATAACAAAACCATACTCTTGGTATGGGATAGATTAAGCTTACATAACATTGTCTCCCTCTGTCATCAAACAACAGTAGAAATTAAAAAACAATATTCCGTGCGACACCATCAGCCTAAGATTCTTGGTATAGCCGTCCAATAATGACCTCGAGTAGGCATATAGATAATTCCTACATCAATTGGCAGTACTATCTTCAAATGCATCTCTGCTGTCGAGCTATATTTGCAGAGTATCTTGAGAAATTCTTCTATGGAGCAAAATACATAAGCAAAGCTGCAAAATCACTCTATTCAGTACATTCAAGCATGCCTGAGTAATTCATCCTACAGATGGCACGGTAAAGGTTGCTCTAAATCTGTGGACGAACCTAGGCTGGTGAATTGGGTAGAGTTACATAAAACATAGGTAGGGGTATGAGTGCAACGAACGTCAGCTTACGTGATACCCTAGTTATTCACCATCCAGAATGGACCACCAAATACCAAGTTCATGGAACAGTCCATGCATCCCCGCATTTCTAGGCACAATATACATATAATGAACAACATACTACTTCAATCCGAAGCCCCTTGTGTCGATTCAAATGTCTCATCTCATAACTAGACACGTCGCGCACAACGACTCCTTCCGTAAGCGAAAGCGTCAAGCATAACCTCAGCCTTGTTACCCAAGATTATCAATAAAATTTCTACAACGTTTCCTATCTCTCCTTTGATTTCTCCCCGAACTACCCAGCTCTCAAACTCTCAAACCCAAAACAATTTATATGTTCTTATCCCGGCAACTGCTGTCTTTGCCCGTCGCACCCGCAATCTGACACCACTGTCTCCAAGAACAATTGTTAAACACAACACTCTTTGATTTGTTGGCTTTGCACTCGCGCGCACCATCGGAACCTCGACTCGCATCCACCATTGAGGCTCTGTCGCCAAATCCGGCGCATACTGTTGCTGTGACGGCGTCGTTGGGGACCCCGTTCGCATCGTAGCAGTGGCAGGATTGATAGTTGGAGCAGGCGCTGGCTGCGAGGGGGAAGAGGAGGAGGGTAAAGGGCGAGAGCTTCATTTTAGGGGCTGGAAGGGGGAGAGGGTTAATTGAAGACAGTGGGAGATGGAGGTGAGGCAGGCCGTACTTTGTGCAATTCACACTATGTATATGAGTGTGGCAGTGAGGAGTTTGAAAGTGGTTTAATGCAGATGCTGTGATTTGTATTTAGGGGTAGGAAATGGTTTGATACTTATAGTTTTCTTTGCAATCTTCTTTAATTCTCATCTGGATGATTCTCGTGAGCCAAAAGAGTAAGGCAACACTACCACGGAGATAACCACGTGTGCTTGGCACAACTATCACAATGAATACTATAACATAATCAACTTTGTCGGTTAAACTCAACTGTTTCGCGCTGAACCTCAAACGAGCAGGTGATTTGCAACTATCATGCGCCAGTACGGACACAAGTAATTGACATGTACAACCATTATCATGCCAAGCAACAGAATAGGCACGACATCCAAGTCAGGGCCTGTGTACACTCACGTTTGAGCCCCGAATCAAGTCCCAAAAACATGGATGGAACTAGTAACAATGAACGATTGCAATCATCTCGGTCCGATACAACAGCATCAAAGTGGATCGGACCTCCGATTCATTTCCCCTCTAGCCACTATCACGGATAAAAAAATGCCAAGGTAAAGCCAGCACGCAAGCAGACAAGCAAAAACCGTGCACTCGGTAGACTTTCTCCCCAGACACACACACAAACACATACACGCCACTATTTACCGCACATCATTGGGGCCAAAGCTTCGTATTTCGACAGTCTAGTAACTACGCTCTGACCAAGCTCCGACCAAGGCGACCAAAAGCTTACTTTGCCTTACTCACAACACTTATATCCACACCATACTATCGCTATCGAACAATCCTGCATCCCTTTCCATCCTGTTCTAAACAGCTAGGATGTATCAAATATAAAAAAAGGGGCCGTCGACAAGCAAATTTAATTCGGAATCATCCGCCATCACACAAAGTGGGCAATTGTTCTGGAGTAAAGCGTGGATGAAAAGTGATAAAGTAATACTGTAGGCATGATTGCGTTTGTGTCCTAGTAGTAGCCCGGCGCAACAACGGGCACGTTTCTTACCCCCACCACCTCCCCTTCTCGACGGGCGCACGGAAGAAAAAGAAGCTGAGGAAAATATTCGGCACGTTGTTCGTTTGCCAATCATCGGTGGTTTCGGTCGGACCTGCCCAAGGACTCGGTCCGAGTTTGACTTGGTACTATTAGGTTACTGCGCATGACGTGATACCCGTCTTATCATTCACGTCAAACTTTATTTTCAACGTCGTTGTTATCACGGAAAGTTCTTTTTTTCTTCGACTGGTTGTTAGTACTGAAAGCTTTTTTTGGGCAATGACACAACTGGTGGTTCCGGGGAGGTTGGGACTCTCTTGGGGTTAAGATAGTAGGCATGTATGCATGGGCAAGTCAATCCTACAAATCTTGCTGATGTGCAATATGTGTGCGCGAGACCCGCTTGTTTCATATTGTACGTGCCCTGTAGTAGTTATCCGAGTTTTTAACGCGCTAATCGCTCAGTACCTACTTGGACCATAGTGGATCACATTTTTAACATTATGCCAAGACAAGTAGCTATTGCTAGTAGCTCTTAACGTGATGTATTTTCTTGGCGGTTGGAGTCAGTTGATAGCACGTGCATCCTCTTCGTAAAGACGGGTAAAGCGAATCCTAGTTGGTGGGGGGATCTGAGTTTCCCCAGGCCCACTTTCAGGTCACTGAGCTACGTGTATAACGCTATTACTACTGGGTATCGGGCCTAAAGAATATATGTAATGACGTGCAAGTGGGACCTATGCCGTGTCTATGCTAGAATTTCGGTCAGCACTTGTGTAGACAGTGGATCTACTTATGTATCTACATTCTGTAATTTGACATGATCAACATGAACACCGTAAGCTGCCTACTAAGTTGCTAAGTGTTCACTGGCTTGCTATAATCTGCCATGTCAGGTTGCGTGAACTTTCCAAGCAAAGAATTACGCAGACGGTTCAAATAGGTTGTACATTGTTAGTTGATGCACATATGTACATAGCAGCATAATGCAGGGCACAATCTAGGATCAACAAGTGTTAAGCATGCAGCCATTCCATTCGTAGAAACCATCATGTGAGGGATGCATATCCCTACACGGGGTATAGAGAATCCTTTCTATAGGCCAATTACTCAAGGTACATACCTGAACAGCCCCGAGTCAGAGCTCCCCTGGTTCACTGATAGCCTATCCCGAATAGGTCGACCCGTGCTAAACAACCACCGGTGAAATTGACATTGCAATCTGAAAGCAGATAGAATGGCTTGGAAGTGCAGCTTGGTATCTTCGAATATCTGTATATAAGGAGGACAAGACGACTTGAGAAGGAGAACCATCACTCACAACGAGATCCAGCCTTCAAAGCACATCTTCGGACTTCAATCCCTCCAAACGCACTCTTCAAGCCTTTCTCAAGAATCACTCTTGTCCCACCACTCCCCTCCATCACCATGCGTTTCACCGTCCCCTTGATTGTCATGGCCGCGGCTCTTACCAATGCCGCAGCCATTCCCGAGGCGAACACCTTGTCTCCTGTTGTCCTTACCAGCGTACGACCTCCACATCCCTTCCAAAAACCACCTCTTCCTAACCATGCACAACAGGACGGCGTAACCTCCGAGGTCCTCGACCTCTCCGCCGACTTGGACAAGCGCCAAACCCCCTCTGCCAACGCCCAAGTCATCGGCGACAAATCTGGCAGCGCTGGCCAAGCCGTCGGCCGTGTCCTCAACGCCATCCTTAACAAGCTCTTCCCGCTCAAGGACTGGAACCCTGCCCGCGAGACCTTCACCAAGGAGACCACCGCACTCATGTACCAGAACAACCCAGACCGCAACCGTTGGGTCGCCACCGTCTGCTACAACAAGGGCTGGGACGTCAAGGACCGTGGCGCCATCTCCGACGTTGTCAGCATGAAGCTCAGCCTCGGTGCTTTCCACACCGACTACGACTGCATGTACATCGGCCGCCACAACCAGTTTTACACTCAGTCGGATGGTGGATACATCAACGTTAGTTTCCCCTCATCTTCTCACAACAAGATCATCATCATTAGAGAAAGGAAAAAAACATACTAACTTTTGTGACACAGCTTGCCTACCAGTATGACAGCAGATTCTGCAGCTACGATGGACGCACTGCCGATCTTACTTGCAACTAAGAAGCGGTTTTAACTACGGACTGAGTATGTGGTTGAGTTTGGATTCTGACCGAGCGAATCTTGTAAATAAGCGAGTGAAGAATGGATCCGGGATAGCTAGTTATATTTCCAATGCACGGTGATGAACAAACTTGGTTTCTACTGTGCTTATCTTTGCAGTTTTTAGCCACATGTTATGATCAGTTTCCTACCAGGGTGACTTTTGTGCAATAAAGAAACGCGATCTAATCAGCTTTAAGAACCTTTAGTCTTATCAATACTAAGAAAGTTGGGATTTTGATCCTTGGATAGTAGCGCCTAATTACACAACAAATACGAGAATGTCCCAGCGTTTACTGTTCTGCCCTATTGTTGCCATGAAAAAAAGGCTAGTCAGATGCTTTAGCAGAGTGTTCCGCTTGCCACACCCACTTCTTATGGTGCCCTTGCCATACAAGAACTTCCGTCCTTGGGCCCATGTCCAAGATATCCCCCATACTGTCCATAACCAACGTACCAAACGGCGTCGAGAGATCCTAGTGACTTCAATTTAATTACCATGCTTATCAGCCACAATCGCACATCCAATGGCATTTCAAAGGCAAGACGCGATTTAGTAGATGCAGAATACGCTGAAGGCTCTTGGAAGACGATGAGGTCGAAGAGTAAACAACTTGAGAACGTCGTGCCCTCGTCCTTATCCTTCGCATTGGCGATCACTCGCTTGCTCTCTACTTGCCACGGGTCCCGTGCCATACACCGACTCTCTACCTTTGACTGCTTCGCTGGCATCCACCGGATTTCTGCCGCCACCAGTCGGCTTCTTAGCATCCGCGTCGCTCCTCCAAGACCGACTCCGTCATGTGATGCGAACCTTAATCTTGCGCAGCACGGATTGCTGTAATCACTAGCACTGGCAATGATCTCCGACAGAATACTAAATATGGACATGTAGCAAAGAGATGCTGTTGTTGTTTATTTTCAACATTGAAGAAGGCTACAGATGATTAGCGTGCGTTCCTAATTACCCATCCTTCAAGCACTCCATCTGTGACGCCGATCTCGAAGGTAACATGGCTCACCGGTGACTTTTGCCAGCGGAATGTTGAAATCCTCATCCTGGATGCACATTATGTTTTCGAAACGAGTGTATTACACAATGCCAACAAAACGAAAAATAATCAAAAGTGAGATATTTACAAAAGAAATTTAAAACGGGCAACCGTTAAGCATGTCAGTCAGTTGACTATAGTCAGGTCCATCTTTTCCCAATCTTCCTCGCAACACCTCAAATCTTGCATACTCTCCCTCGGATATTCGTCACCTGGTCCAGCCTCAGCCTCACATTACCCAGGCTCGCATACTCCTTGGAGCTCATGCCACGTCTAGCGTTGGCAGCATTTTTGAAACCACTCCGACCAACGCCAGCACCTGCCACGTAGCTAAAGATAGTTAGGAAAGCGTTTTCGGGGTTCTCCACTAGGTCATAAACCACCAGACCGGCCTCACCGGCCGTGCCAATGAGACGAAGCATACTTCGGACTGCTGTCAAGCCCAAACTACCAGCGGCATTGCCAGCTACGGGGATAAAGAACAGAATACCCATGATGAAGTTGAGGATCATCTCCTCTCGTTCTTTCTTCTCGAGTTCATTTGCCTTCTCCACAATCTTCTCCATTGCCTCAATAGCCTCGACGGCCGAGTATACAGGGATAGACACGGCATCAACTAAGTCGGCCATTTGAGTTTGCTCTGAATGTGCGCGTGAAAAGTCAGCGTGTTTCTCAAAAGCTTCATGTGGAGGGTGTCTTACCATCATAACGGCCGGCAATACTCATTGTCTTGAATCGATCGAGCGTCTCCTTTGCTATGTCATATGAATCGCCAATCACCTTCTTTGGATTGTAGATCTCGATGTTATCGCTTGGTCGGGGGTAGTCGTACCACCAGTCAGGCAGTTTGTCGATGCATTCGTTAACTTCCTCCCCGGCATATTGACAGCCATTGCTATGCCTCACGCGCCTTCTTCCAAACGAGACCCACGACTTCTCGATACCCCAGGTCTCTCCAAGGTCCTTCCAGAAGCCTTCCTCGTCTTTGAAGCTGAAGGTCGCGTTAGGGATCCTTTCACCAACATCTAAGCCTTTGTCCCCGAACTCCATCTTCGGGCAGGCGATATCCAAAGTCATACGACCACTCTTACAGTTCTCATCGCCGTCAACACAGGTCAGTCTGCATGTTGGGTATGTGCAGTCCGAGCAGCACTCAGCGTAGCGAGTTTCTTTGCAATTGAAATACTTGTCGACCTTGTCAGTGGCCATGAAGTTGTTGATTTGCTCCGGCACTTGGTCCTAGTAAGCGCAAAGGCTGGGTCAGTCTGTGCCGCAAGCATTCCAAAGAGGTAGTCTCACCCGAGAGTATTGTGCGTAGACATCAAACTTCTTGTCGTAGCCGTTGTCCATCAAGTCTTTGTACTTCTTCAGAGCGCCTTCGTAGTTGGAGATCTCTACATCGAGCATGTATTGCTCAAGACAGTGGGCGGGTAAGATGTCCTTAGCGTCTTCAATCTGGTCCAAGCTATCGTACTTAGCCGTGCATCCGGACCAGTAATACCGATCAATGTAGTCCTCCTCCTCGTCGTCGCTGTCACCGCTTCCACTGTATAACGTTAGCCTGAAGTGGCTCACTCAGCCATGAGAATCAAATAATGTACTCATTGAATGCCTGCAAGTCCACAGCCCAATCAGTCGTGCCTGCAAAATTGTAGGAATCGTAAAATTTTGCACGTTCCGCTTTTATGTCATCATCCATCCACGCCACCCACTCAGTGTCGTTGTAGACCATGATGTTCGACCCTTCGCTCTTCCACATCTTCTTAACATTGCCAAACTTGACAATTTCGTTAATCTCTGCGTTAGATATGTAGCCTGCAGTTTCTGTGCAGCGTCCTTTGGCAGCGTTCGACAGTCGAGGCGATCCAGTAAATCTACACTGTTCAGAGTCGCACCCAGACTGAGCCATTTTGAACGATCGACCATAGCTGGCAACGCCGACTACTACTTTATTCGACGCTGCGCCAGCCTTGGTAATCATCGAGAGAGCATCCTTAGTTTCGGTCTCATTTACGTGGGACCTCAGACAGTTTCCTGTGTCGCAACCAGGCGACGTCCACTTATTACCGTAGTCCCATTGGCCGTGAAGATCGTAGGTCATGTAGACAATGTAGTCTAGGTCCTTAGCCATGTTCTTAATAGGAAATGACTTCAGGTACCAGTATGATGCTGGTGCTGCGAAGGAAACCGACTTGGAAGAGCCAACGGAAGACTTCAGGCTAGAGAGAAGCCTATAGTAGTTCAGGCCGTTCACAGGATCGTCAGAAGGAATATCTGGGATGTCAGGAGCCTAAAGACCACATGTCAGCCCCAACTAAGCAACTAATTCTTGAGTGCAAGTAACACTGACGCCTGGATATTCCCAATCGAGGTCAATACCATCAATATTATGTTCATTCATGAAAGAAATAAGGTTGTTCTTGAACTTATCGCGGTTGGCCTAGAGATCGATATACAACGTCAGTTTACGTGTGCTTCAAAAGCATTTCGCACAAGGTGTTCTCTTACAGGCTTCGCGGCATCGCGGAGAATCTGGAAAGTTCCCGGCTCAGTACTGAAGGCCCAGCCACCAAGCGAGACGATCTTCTTCACGCCTATCATTCCCTTGAAGATTTCGAATTGTTCCAGAACCTTGGGGTCGGTGATCTCAACCCGGTAGTCGCCTCGAGTGACATTCGCAAACGCGAAATGTATATGGGTATAGGTGGACGTATCGATTTGGTCGACGTGCATTGTCAGGCAAGCTAGAGGATCGCTTCAGTCAGTTTGTGCTAAATATGACGTTTATGTAAGAAGGCTCACGGCGGTTGAAATTCCAGCTCTCATAATATGCCACCTTTATCTTGCTGGCTGGAGCTGAACCCTTAATGATGTCTCTGCCGCAGTTGCTGATGCCTATGTCCCGATTAGTCATTGAAATGCGATATAGCGACGAGTAGAAGACTCTCTGCCGAGGATAGTCACGCAAAGATATCGTGAACGTCGGAGGCATAGATGCTCAGCCATAGATGGAGACACTTACAGCCATTCTTGCCAGGAGCAGAAGTTCCGGGAGCACCCGTCTCGGACTTGGAGATGACACAAAAGTCGTCGGTCATGCCACACTGGCCCCAAATGTTACAGCAAACGTTCAGTGGGCAGGGGTTGAGGGTAGCCAAGTCTGTTCCAGCGGGCGGTTGGGTTGTGCCATTCATCTTGTTTAGTTAGTCTTTGTGCTCCAACTTCAACAAATGGAAATAAGTTCTTACCGTTGGTCCACACACAGCGTTCTAGAAAAGCGAGGTTGTCAGTCATGGTGCTCTCATCTTGGTGGGATAGTGGAGCGGAGGGAGGGATAAATACCGGAACGTTGGCAGGCATGGGAGGGCTGCCCTCACTGACACACATTTTGAAGTCTGGGAAGAGACGGTCGCACCCGTTCCAACCCCATGTCTTCTTGTTGAAACTCTCAAGCTCGGCCACCGTGATGTCGCGGGAGACGGCGATCTTAGAGCAATAGTCATCCTTTTTCGTCGTGTACACGGCGCAATTGCCGTTCGCATCCTTCTTTGGCTTTATATCTGGGTATTTACCATTCGAGCAGCAGACTTTTTGACCTTCAATTAATTTTGAACAAAGGTCAGTTTTGGTGTTCACCTTCATGAAGTCTGCTGAGCTAATGCCGCACTTTGAAGCAAGGGAGCCGCAGCTATCGCCGCTAACCACGTCTATCGTTTTGCAGGTACCATCTGAATTGCCGGCAGGCAAAGTGCTTGGCAGAGTTCCCGTGCTACAGCAGACCTTTTCATCTTTTATAAGTGTATTACAGAGATTCTGGCGGTTAAACTTTTGGAGATCAGCCTGGCTTATCCCGCACCGACCGGCGACTGCATAACAGCCATCGCCGGACTGAACGGTGGTTGTCCTGCAATCAGCCCTGATACTAAGATGTGATCTGGACTTCATGCGAGCAGGTATAGTATTGTTTGCTGCAGTTGTGGTATTAGTACCGTTCAAAGCGCCAGCGATGGGGCCGGGGACTCGGAGGTTGACATCCATCCACTCCTCGCCCGAGGTGGCTGATACGCAAGCTCCACTAGCCCAGGTCCTAACAGCTTCCTGAACAAAGGCAAGATTCTTTGCACTTGTGGCAACGATTCCCAAGCTATAATCTGCGCCACGGCCATCGGATCCACATAGCTAATCAGCCCATGTTAGTAACAGTATCGCGGCGACTCAGTATATTAGCACCTACCTGTACTACGGTGGTCTTTGAGATGGCTTTTTCTTGCATGTATTGAAGAAGCTTCTCAAGAACGACCTTAGTGATCCCGTGCTGATGGATTTCAGCTCCAGCAAAGAGACCAATACTTGACGACTGATAGTAGGCAAACTCCATTGCATTGTTCGTGCAGGAAGGCTCTTGTAACTCGAGGTGATTAGCGATCTGGCGGCCAGCGGAAAGGAGGTGGTTCACGGAGAACTCGCTGTCGGCTCCTACGTGCGGTTGGTGCAAGTAAATGGAGTTCCGTTCCAAAATTCGGTTAGCAGTCGTACAAAGAGATGCTTTCCCTTCTTCGGCTACAAATGCAGCCTTGATGCCAGAATCATAGTCGGCTGAGCAAGCCCTAACAACTGTTCGTGCGGCATCGTCGTCGACGGCTGATTTGACAACCATGTCGAGTAGCATAGTCTCGTTGCATAGTGCTAGCTTCGTGGCATCAGGATACAAGAACCATTCAGCTCTCGAGGTCACTATGTGAAGTGAGTAATATGTCACCGAAGTTTCGAACTAAACCTACAGTTTTTGTTGTTTGCCGTGCTACAAGATGAAGGGCAAGCCCTGAGGGCGTCTGCTGATACCCGTTGCGCTGCTGCCAACCATTCATCGAGGTCGTCACCAGCATCTTCGGCTCGAATGGCAATGTGATCATCATGTGCGTTGGCCAACACTCCCAACTGGGCGATCAGAACGAAAGAGTGGAAGAAAGCCCTCATAGTGGCAAAGAAAAGCAAAAGGAGTGTTCAAAACGAGTGTAAGTTGCTCCTGCACTGAAGAGAGCAAATGCAAGAAATGCAGACGAGCGTGGATTTGGAGTACATATGAGTTTCTCTGGACATAGATAATCACGTGCGTCGTACATTGAAGAGCCGGACACGATTAATGCTACCCATGTAGATTTGCCTCTCCAGGAGCAATAGTTGGGCACGGAAGAACTTCTTTTGAGGCTTAGTACATACTATGCATCTGAATTGAGCCGTGGGATACTTTGAGTGGCCAGACACGGGACGCAAACCGCGGTCTGCCTCGGAACTCATACCCTGGGATGTCACCATGCGCGGTTGCGATTAATTGTGAGTAGAGTGTAGGAACCTTAGGCCGTTTCGAGCAGGGGTGCCGGCGATAGCTGCCAAGACACGCTACCACAGCCGTAGTAGATGCAGGGGCAGTTGGACCCTGCGGCATTGCCCTTGGCCCTGTGCCCAGCTAGTGTGCGGCGTAGTCCTACTACCAGACCGGCCAAGACGGGACGGACGACCAAGCACGAAAACATTAAATTTGTGCAAGATACCCCGGTATCATATCGGCTCTTCTTGGAGAATCCTACTGCGGCACTGATCCACTCCATACACACGGTAGCTACAGGGTGAGTGGGCAGTGGCCTGCATCCTAGTTGGAGATTCAGCCCATCACGCAGCACAGATCTAACCTCAATACATGACTTTAATCTGCCTGTTTACGGGCAAGCATGCTAGCCACTCTCGATACATCCCGTACCCTCTAGGGTTCCAATGGTTGGGTCTAGATCCGGTCAACGCTTCGGCAGACATGGCGGATGGTGGTTAGAATGAGCAAGTCATCGGGCTATCCACATTGGGTTTGTTCAGGGATTTTGATTAGCAAGACTCGGACAAGGATGCATGCTACTATTGGAAACCCTGTAAACTTCATGTGCCTGGATTCTCGACAAGCGACGCTGTCCATCTGCGTGTATACCTAAGTGTCCTCCATCTCCCACTTGGAGCAGGCTCGTCACCGAGACGTCCATCTTCAGTCATTCATTCAATACTATCTTTACTCCGGTCGCTGCTGCTCTATAGTACCACAAAATGAGGTGTTCTCTTCTTTTCACTCTTTTCTATCTCTTCGTGGCCGCATGGGCTGGCGGATATCAAGGCTGCCTCGAACGCGTGTGGTTATACCAAGCCTACTTGATCGACAGTCTCAACGACTACAATGATCAAACAATCGGTTGGCAGTGCAAAGACAAAGGGATCACTAAGAGAACAACGACATGTAGCAGTTGGGTTAGAATGGTACGTCGCATCTGCATACATATACTTCCTAATTAGACTGACTTATTCGGTACACCAAAAATTAGCCAGGAAGCAGTAGTGGTTCGACGCTGTCATACGACCAGTTCATATTCAATCTAGGTAGGGTGGGAGACCGTACTGGATGGTCCGTAATGTCAGGGGGCAAGCTTGATCTGGAAGCGACAGCTTTGAACACATACAACAAATACCTCACGCCACGGCCTGGTCAGGCCCCGGGTACCGCCAAGGTCAAAAACTTTGGTGCGCATTTAGCCGTGAAGGGCACTTTCGAATGGAACGCGTGCATCATGAAAGTTGGTGAAGTGTAAGTAAAATTCCTTTTGAATGAGGTGTAAGGTAACCACTAACTCTGTATATCCATGTTTAGCGTAGACAGGACGTACAGGGATAAATCTGCTGGTATGGATGATGCTACGAAGAAGTTATTCAAGGATTTTGGTGGGTGGCATTTGCATCACTGCGCGCCGACACTACATACTGATATGCCATGAACGACTAGATATGATGAGAGAACTCGTCATCAAGGCGCGTGCAGCTGACCATGCTCCTTTCCTCATCAACGAGGCACGCCAGAAACTGTCGGGGATGAACATAGAACTTGAGCCTCTAGGTGCGTAGGATACAGACGTCTATGAGAGACGGTAGCTAACAGTCTATGCTAATCTGTAGGCACAAATCCGGTACGTGAATGCGGCCTGTATTTCTGGATGGACTCAGTGCTCTGGCGCAGCGATGACTCAGTTCTTTTTGCTTACTAGATCACATTTAGGTTGATCCTAACAAGAAATGGGAAACAGTCGATTGGACGGCGACCGAAAAAGCAGCTCTCGAGGCAGGTGATAAGGATGCAGGAAAGAAGATCAGAAAATTCTTGGGTGATTGGTACAGCGGTAATAAGGACGCTAGAGACCACGACCAGGTGATCAATTCTTTCAAACATCAGCGGGATCAACAGCTTGCCTGCGGTCGATAGATGGAGGAGAGGGTTGTCGTTAGAGTTCAGCAAAGATCTTCAAAATTCAGCTTTGGGCTACAGTATTGTGAGATGGTTTTAGAGTAATCAACAGCATGTCATTGGTAGAATTATGGCTCTATTTTTCCTACTGCCAACATCATATTTGATTTAGTCTGAAAACTCGTCATCAGTGTTGAATGCTTTGCCGGTAGCTTCTACCCGCCAGGCCATCAGTGTTTCTCTACCTATGGTTTCTAATTCCAAGCCACGCGCAACTCGACCATCGAATGCGTCAATGAATAGCAGGTTTTCAATGGCGCAGGGCCAGCAATGTTCATCTGTAGCGCCATACCACATCCAGAAACCATCTGCGCAGTCTATGTGAATCTCTTCCACATTAACAAACTGCTCAAGCTCCTTGTTTTCAGTATGGTAGAAAAAATCATTACCGTTCTCTCGACTAAACTTGAGACGCTTGATTGCTGGTGCGATATGCTTGTAAAGGCTGAAATAAGTAGTCCCGATATCCACCATATCAATGTTGAGATTCAGCCAGACATAGCGCTGCTCGGCGTCGTGAGGTCCGGCTTCTCTCGGGTTATTGGGCATGAACACTCGTTCGTAAAGCCCAAGGTTTCGAGCTTCCCGGCAGGACTGTAGTGTGGCGGGTACTGGCGTAGACGAAAGGGTTCGTGTTAGACCCCACACTCCGTCACTGGTGACATGCCAATCTTCAACACGCCGGACGTCGACGGTGCGCGGTTCGACGGTGTCCTTCCAGATTTGCTCTCGGAGCTCCAGAGGAAGCCGCGGAAATGGATGAAAAGTGGCCATGGTGTAGGATAGCAACCGATTATGCTAGCGCTACCGCTAGCAGGCAGAGGCGTGGGCAGCAAAGGGGCCGATATGCTGTAAGAAGCTGGTAAGGAAGGCTGTCACACCGAGGGATGCGTTTGATGCTAGACGCTCCGCGCTTAGCCTTATACTATGGAAAAAATCCAGATCAGATACGGTGTAGCGAAAGTTCGGTTGGCAGAATTTTCGAACGTTTGACTCAATTTTGGGTCACCTGCTTCTGTACCAAGACGGATACAAGTCCCAATGCAAGTGCGGGTGAGCAGGGGCCAGGATACTGTTAATCCGCACTTCTAGCGTGAACGCATACGGGCCGAGGCCGGGGTGGCTAAGTGCCAACATGGGGCGACTGTTACACGTGCACAAGGGCGTCTCCACAGTAGCGCGCGCTTCCTTCTACCGAGATGAGCAAAGCAGAAAAGCCACCTCAAGATACTTGGCGACGCCTTCCAGATTGGTCAATACATCCGGACGAAGACCGTGCCGCATCCCAAAATCCCGGCAGCTATGAGCGTTTTTGTACACAGGTATGCAGCCTAGCCCAAGGACGCTCCATGTCACCTTCCAACGCTCGGCTGTCCCGTGGTCTAGAACTTAGCGTTGATATGCACAAGGGACTCGGGAAGCGTAAACAAATTGTTTCATCGGCGAGAGCCTGGGCTTCTCCCCCTCTTTCTAACTTTACAAAGAGTGCCGTAGACTTGTCTCTGACTTGTTTCCTAACCTCAAACCCATCTTCGTCTTTCTGGGACTTTATCCGTTAGCAGGCTTGCATCATGAGGACTTCTTTAGCATTGTTGTTTACAGCGCTTGCTCAGCGAGCTGTCTCCACACGCAGTCCGCTCCTCCAATGGGACCCCGATACGGTCAAGGATTGTGTGGAATGGTACAATAATGGCGAAGGCAAGACTTGTGAATACGTGCGCAAGCTCGTCGGCAGTAAGCTCCCTTTGCCCAGCTAACAACTTACCCATACTGATCTTGTAACTTACTACACAGTCACAGCAGCAGAGTTTTACGAATGGAACCCTTCAGTTGGCCCTGATTGCAGCAGCTGGCGTCGGCAATCCTACTGCGTCATGACGCAAACAAAACTGGACGCCTGGGAACCAACGACAACCTCCTCGACGGTGACCACCACCACTACGAAGAGCACAAGTTTTTCTCTCGCGCCTTCCCCTACCGCCTGGGACGCCCTGGGATGCTACACTCAGAATCCGACCCACCCGCTCCTCCAGCTGAACACAAATGCAAATGGAGACGCATCTCTAACTATTCCCAAGTGCAAGAACAGTTGCTATCGCCGCGCCTTTAAGTTCGCAGGTGTACAGGAAGGCAATCAGTGTTTGTGCGGCAGCTACGTAAACGGCGAGTGGACAAAGAATCAGACCGACTGCAACGCTCCTTGCACTGGTAACAAGGCAGACATGTGTGGAGGCAAGGGCCTTGTCAATGTTTTCGAGGCATTGGAGAACACTGCGCCAGCCACCACTACCGCTAAGAGTGCGAGTGTCACAAACACTGCCACTAAGAGCGCGAGTGTCACAAACACTGTCACTAAGAGCGCGAGTATCCAGGCCGCTACGGCTAGCAACGGCGCCATAAAGAACAGAGCTCTCTTTGGGATGGGCTTTTAGGCTCACGCTGTTTCGGCGGGTGTTCTTGGTTGATGTAGATATACTTCTAATATGATATTCGGTGATTGCTTGTGTAGAGTTAGAGTGACTACTTGCTTATCTCCTTGCTATCGCATGTACCGAAGAGCATGCGTCAGTGAAATCAGACTCCACCTCCCTACAGATAGTCCTTACTGCCTTCCTAGTAAAAGAGTGAACCGCAACTAGGATCATTCCCCACGGTACAATAGGCAAAACACTCGCATTGCAAACATTTTACCTTCTTCGCATTCTATAGTCCTAACTGTGCTGCCTAGATTCTCCCCTGTTATTAATCAAGTACCGCTAGATAATATCGTATTCCTTGGCGTTAGGGAAGGGGACTTGCTTGGCATCAGCATAAAAAGCTTGGACAGTGAATGCCGACAAGACTCAAGTACGTGCAGTCGAGGGAAACATGTTGCAGCCTAAATTGAAGGGCAAATGAACTAAGCTTGATTTGAATGTCTGTCATCTTACCGCCCATTTAGTGTTAGTGTGTATATAATTACATCCCGATGTTCACAGCACGGCCCTTCATACGGGTACTGCCTAGTGCCGGCTACGAACGAAATAGACAGGGTTGTCGCACGAACGCACGCTGAGTCCATGCAGAATTCCAGTTTGCAAAGAGATGCCTGAATTTGGACCTCGCTATAATTAGTCTTCATTTCCGTCGTGGATGGCGACAAGCAGTAAGTGGCCTCGGCTACTAGGTCTACTTACTACCGGCAAAATGCAAGGCGCCGGGGTCAAAGCTTTCCCAGGGTCTTTCACCACGCCACTTAACTGTGCCGCAATCCTGCAGTACAGAAATTTCACCTCCCACAGTGGCTCATTTTATTATGCATGGACCTAGCCTAGACCATAATTATGACTAGTATGCCAAGGAGCTACGAAATAGACGTAGTATACGTGCGCTGGTAACTACCACAAAGGATCACTGTCTGAATATCTTCACGGCACGACACCATCAGACTCGCATGTACGACGCTGACTCGAGATGCGCTTTGCTGCTTCTACCACAAACAATAGTTTCTCGGTTGGCGAGAGCTCAAGCGAGGTGCAAAGAGTAGTGGCCTAAGAATAGCACCCGCATAGGTGCTTCGTAGCCCTGCTGATAGAAAAATTCAGACCCGGTCAAATGATCCGTCCGTATACTGTGCAGAGCAAGAGAGCAATTCACTCCTTGTAGTGACTATACACGCTAGTCTAAGGCTGCCAGACTTGGACTCAACCTCGGCGGCGCATATTCATCCAGCTTGTGCCTTTAGCGAGGCATGCTTCGGTTGCATATAAGAAGATGTGTCCATTCTGAAGACCAATCTCTAGGCATTCATTCATTTTTTTTTCTGCCCACTCGTGCATTCGCAGCCATGTTGTCTCTAACTGCCAGTCTTCTCTTGATCGGCGGTTTCTTCCAGGGAGTCGTGTCAACAGCCCGCATCTTGCCTCGCGATGGACGGTTTCCAGCATTGCCTTATGCGGATGACACTACCAAGTACTGCGTTTGGTGGCTCGACTACGAGTCTGTCGGATCATGTGTGGATATGCTTGAGGCCAACTACATCAACCTTGAGGAGTTTCGTCGATGGGTAAGAACTCCGCAGCCTCTCTGTGCTTGCAAACGCGCTGACAAGACATATAGAACCCTTCTGTAAACGCAGACTGTGGCAACCTGGTTGTCGGAAAGTCGTACTGTGTTGAGACCGCCGATGAGCCGGCAGCCTCTGATCCAGCTCCAGCTCCAGCTCCAGCTCCAGCTTCGAGTTCTACTTCATCTGTACAATCGTCAGCTGTGCCCACGCCCTCGACATTCACAACCTCGTCACAGCCTGTAATCACAAGTTCTGCAAGCAAGTCAACGCCACCATTAACGACCACAACCACAAGCGCCGGAAATGGAGTGGAAACTCCTCAGCCCACCCAGCCCGGCATGGTAAGAGATACATGTATGAAATGCATATGACACATTCGCTAACTTGGTACCTACGAATCTCTCAGGTTTCAAACTGCAACAAATTCCACTACATCGGCCCCAATACTGTCTGTAGCCAGGTCCTCAGCTACCAGAAGATTTCAATGGA